CACGCTCACGATACTTCGATTCGTCATTTTTCCGACGTAGATTTTCCATTTTACAATTACGTGACTCATAGCCTGGTGATAACGGAGAAAAGAGACAGATAGGACGTCGGTAAAAGTCACAGTTATGATTTCACAGATTCGAGACAGCTTGGTAGCTCGAACGGCCCCAGGCTTTCGCCCGTGCACGCTAAGTGATTTTCATTACAAGCATTTAGCTTTCCGAAGTCTCTGACAACAATTGTTTGGCATTGACGGCCGCGAATTTCGCGCCAATAAGCTGCCTCGACTTGTTCGATTATGTTATCAACTCAATTTCATATTTATTTTCACATTTTCACTTCGCGGTCCTTCTCTGTTTTTCCGTTATTTACACGTGTAGGTCATTTCATTGTTATCCACATTTCATGTCATCATTTATCGCATACTGCATGACGCTCCATTACAAGAGATTGCCCGCAGGGGTCTGTCTGTGGACTCCTGCTTTGAAATATCACTTTCGATGCCTTCCTTAAAGAAACCCTCGGACAAACAGATTCCTTTGCTTATGCTGACGACGTCATAATGCTGCTAGGAGGTCGATCAAGGTCTGACCTTGAGTACAAAGGCAACTACCTGTTACAACAGATTTACACATGGGGAAATAAACACAAACTTAACTTCAATCCTCTAAAGACTAGAGGTGTTGTTTTCAACAAACCAGGTAAACACAACCTTTACCTCAGACCACCACACCTTAAAATGAATAACAACACAATCAAAGTTGAAAAAACTCTTAAATACCTGGGTGTTATACTTGACTTCCGACTCTCGTGGGAAAAACACGTGGAATATATCTCTAACCGTACAGGATTTATACTTCAAGCTTTTGCACAAGTAGCCAGAAGAGACTGGGGACTATCTGCAGATGCAATGTCCATTATTTATGACAGTATATATATTCCTATCATTACATATGCATGTGGAACTTGGGGATGGGCCACTCATAAGATACATACTAAAAGGAAACTAGTCTCATCGCAAAGACGTGCTCTTCTACTCATAACCAAGGCATTTCGAACTGCAAGCAATCAATCCTTACAAGTTATTGCGAAAAAACTACCAATAGACCTAACAGTTATGATGAAAGAGAAATTGCAACAAGCCAAATGGGGTGAAAATATTATGACATACTCTAGAACGATATTACACAATAACATTGAATGGAACTCTCCTTACTGTGACACCTCTCCCCCCGGTATTCCCTTAAATTACACTTTTGAAAGCAATAACTA